CTGCAGGTCCTATTCCTGCAGCAAGCTTGCCTGCTTTTCCAGCCCTACACATTTCCAAGCAGGAGCTTTGTAGGCAACGTGGCAAAAGAACCAGGAGCTGAATGCATGGGATTAAGCAGGAAAACTCTGTGTGTCAGTGCCGTCAGGCACTTTGAAGGTGGCTTTAGGCAGCCACAGGCTCCCCTCGCTCATAGAGGAAGAAATGGGTTGAATTCTCCCCATTCAGGGCCAAAACAAGGCAAAGCAGGAGGCTGCACTTACTGCTGGGACTGCTTTTCGGCCAGCTCCCGTGTCCGCTCCTGGGCAGGGAGAGAAGGGGAAAGCAAAGTGAAACCCAGTGGGATGGGGTGGCACGAGCATCACCCAACCAGCACTCGCTGCCTCCTTGAGGGGGTATCAGCAGCACCCCCACCCCACCAGCACCCCCATCCCACCGCTGACTGACCCACACCGTCCTCTGGATCATTTTGGCCACTTTGAGCAGCAGCTGCCCGAAGTCTCCCGGCTCGAAGCTGGTGGCCGAGTGCTGGATGCAGAGGCAGAGCAGGAAGGCGGGTGTCAGCTTGTGGTCGTCCCCACCGGGCTCGATCAGGGTCATGATGCGCCGCAGCAGCACGTCCTCAGCCGCCGGCTCGAACTCCAGCAGCAGCTTCCTGCGGGGTGCCCTGGGGCCGGCGGCAGGCGAGGGACCCCTCTTTTTGCTGGCGGGGTCCCTCAGCAGGCTGCCGCATGCCCTGCAGACAGGGCGACCCTCAGAGACAGCGGGGTGCAGGGCTCGCAGCCTCAGCAGGGTCTGTGCTGGCAGCGGCTGCGCCTTCATGGGGTCCTTATAGAGGAGCAGGTAGTAGAGACCGAGGGAGAGGAGGTCCCCGTGCTGCAGCACGACCGTCCGGGCCACCTCGGTGAAGTTGATGGAGATGCCGGCACCGGCGATGGGCTCCAGCACCAGCTTCTCCTCCGAGCAATGCCGGGAAGGTCGGAGCTTCCTGATGGTGCAGTGCAGGGGCAGGATGTCGGGGGCTGACAGGCTGATGCTGGGCTTGCTCGCCTGCGTCCTCTGGCCCACCGTGTGCTGCTCGCGGTTCAGCAGGTAAACCAAGCTGTCCTGCCAAGGGGGGAGACACGGCATGAACCAGGGATGGAGGGGCAAAAGGGACCCTCCTCTCTGCTGTGCAGTGGGTGCTGCAGCATCCCACTGTCCCCAGCCATCCCCCTGTCCCCTGCATCGTTGCATGTCAGAAACACATTTCTCTCTGCTGAGCAGGACAGCAGCGATCCCAGCTTTGGGCATGCTAATAAATGGGGACAGTAACTTTGGGCATGCAGTGAATGGGGCTGCTCTGGGCAGAAGGAGTTCTCCCTCCATCTCTCTGACCTCCTTCTCCCAGCTGTTTGCCCTTCCCACCTTCTTCTGCAGCAATGCCTGCATCCCCCAGCCCGGGAGGACAATGGGACAGCAGTCAGAGCAGAGACTCCCTGCCCTGCCTTATTCTCCAGCCTGCTCCAAAGCAGGTCTCATAACCCACCCCCCGTGCCTCAGTGTCCCCAGCTGTACTAATGGGGTGGCTGCAGTACCAATGTCACCCTGCAGAAACCTTGGCACAGCCTTATTCCCAAAGGGGACAAAGTAGCCATTAACTACAAGAGGCATCCCAGGCCTTCCCAGTTCTCCAAGTGCCTCCAGCATTGGGGACCAGGGGCTCCCAGCCACTCTGTCTCCTCGCTGCCTCATTACGTTTGCCACTAGCAACCAGACAAGGGATGGGGCAGTTCAGCCATCACCCGCAAAACCGGACCATCCTTGTGCCAAGTCAGGGACGCTGCTCCCACATCCCTCTGGGATGCTACCGGGGGGTCCTCGCTCTGCACCCCCAGTGCTTGAGGGCAAGCTGGAGGACAGACTTGGTGACAACGCTGCAAGTCCCAGGCTGGCACCGCTCTAAAGGATGCTCTTCCACGCCACCACCCCAGCAGCTCCGGCCATGCAAGCAGCCCCCCGAGGCTTTAAGGGGTGATGGGACGAAAGCGGAGGGGGGTGCAGGGGGGTGCGCAGGGAGGCGGCGCGGTGCTTACATGCTGCTGGCTGTAGCCCTGCAGGAGCAGGAGGTGCGGGGACTGGTAGAGGGAGTACCGCATGCTGCTGCTGCTGCTGCTGCTGCCGCCGCTCCGCGCCGCCGCCGGGCTCCCGGGCAGGGTGGAGCAGTGCCGCTGGAGCCGCTCCCCGGCACCGGCCCCGGTACCGACCCTCCGGGCCGGGATGCCCAGGCTGGTCTCGCTGAGGCTGCGCCGCAGGGCCGGGGGGGGGCCGAGCCGCTCAGCCCCCGCCGGTGCCCGCCGGGCCCCCCGCGCCCGGTGCCGCTGCAGCTTCCGCGCCTGGGCGTTGATGCCTGCGGGGATGGGGAGGGGGAAGAGCAGCATCAGTCCCCGCCGCTCCCCCCCCCCCCCCCCAGGGTACCGCAGCACCCTATGGCAGGGGGGATGCTGCAGCTTGGAGAGTCTCAAAGCATCCCCAGCCCCGGGTTGGTGTCCCCCCTGGTTTCCCTGTCCTCCTGAAGGGTGACAGCAGGACATCAACGCAGAGAGTTTCACCCCAATGCTACCACCATAGAGGGGGTGTCCCAGAACTCCTAGGCCCCCAAACCCCACTGACTGGGACAGCCAGGCTGGGCTCAGCATCCTCAGCATCCCCCACGCTGCGAAGGCTGGGGGGAGAGAGGAAAACTCTGCTAGAAAGAAATTCAGCTCAATAAGAGCCTGGATACTGCTTTTTAGGAGCTACAGGGAGGTCCCCCCGGCCCCCACCCCGAGCATCATCAGGCATGGGAGCTGGAGCTGCAGTGGAGCCTGCCCGCTGCCTGCTGCAGGAGAAGCTGTAATTAACTTCTCCTAAACATCCATTCGGGAAGAGCTGCTTGCAAGAGGAATAATGGGAGCTGGAGCGAATGAATAGGCCTGGCCGAGCTGCAAAAGCAGCCCCTCGAGTGGCATCCCCATCCCTAAGGGGGTCCCCACAGACCCCTCCGTGCTGCAAGCATGGCTCCAGCTCTGCAGGACAAGTTGGGGGTGCGATGGGCGATGCTCGTACCTGGGGTGGGCAGCCTCCTGGGAGCAGGTCGCTGGCATTCAGGGAGGACGAAGAGAGGGGGGGAAAAGCCTAAAGGATTTGCTTGTGGAAGCAGCACTGCAGCAGCATCAGTGCAGCACAGAGCCAGAGCCCCATTTACGGCTCAGCCGACCAGCGAGCAGGCTGCGGCCAGTGATATTTGGGGACAAGCAGCGGGATTTGGGGACGGCAGAGCAGAGAGCCTGGTGCCCAGGGCTGCTTAAAGGGACACTCACAAGTTCAGACCCGAAAATGCCATCGGCCTTATTTGGTGAGGAACGGGCTGCTGGTTCTGGAATACATTTCTGTGTTTGTTTGTTTTAAAGCAAGTGCTCCATTGCTGGGAAAACGAAAGAGATGAGGATGGGGAGGGCGGTGGGAGAGGGAGAAAATAGCCCCTGCTGTTCACATGCCTTGGGATTAAGGCAAGGCACAGCCAAGTCACCCGAGCGGTCCAGTGCCCTGTGTCCTTCTTTAAAAGGCAATCGGCCCGGCTCATGTCCCCATCACGGCCAGCAGCACGGCATTGGGATGTCTGGGTCCCGCTGATGTGAAATCCAGGGAGTGCAACAAGCCCCAAATGTGCCACTGGGGATGCCAAATGCCCCCCCCCCCAGGAGCCCCGTCCCCAACCCACAGCATGGAAAGGGACCAAAGGGATGAAGGATGGTTGGGCGATGCCTGGCTATGGAAGTGGAGGAGGAGAAGGGCTGGATCCTGGGGAGCTGGAGCTCATTGCATTGGGATGGAGGAGAGGTGCCAGGATTGGGGTCCCACCACCCAGACGGAGACGCCATCACTGGTCCCTTATCTAGGGGAAAGGAAGCTTCTGTACTCGTTTTGTGCAGGAAAAGGCTGCTTTTTCAGTGCTGACAGAGCCCCCGTCACAGGCTCCCCGCTAACCCCGGAGCTGCCCTGGAAAGATAAACACGGCTCTTTTCCTGAGCATAACAAAGCCCCTCCATAAACCAGGATAGGGCTTTTTCCAGTCCTCTCGTACTGCTTTCTCTTCCCAAGCATGTGCAGAGTATCCCACCTGAAACACTGCACGAGCATCTCCAGTGCCAAGCTGCTGAAGTCACACGGTGATGGGGATGGGAATGGGGCAGGATCACGCCCTATCCCTTAGGAAGAACGGGGCACCCCTGGCCAGCACCCACCAGGCCCCACCAAGCTGCTGCCTCTAAACCCATCCTGCATCCCAGGGGAAAACGTGTTGGTTGTGGTGCCTGGGATGTTGACCGGGATCTGCCTCTTTTCAGCCTAGGGAAGATGTTCCCTGTCCATGGCTGGAAATAAATCAGCCAACAGATACCTCCAGGGGCCCCAGGAAAGGAGAAATGCTTTGAATTTACCCAGGAGGAGCTGACTCCAGGCTGGTCCTTCCTAATGGAATTGCTACTCAGACCCTGCAGGGAATCTTCCCTGGATGCACTCGTGCTAAGGCATATCAAAGGCAGATCCTCGAAGGTACCTGCCAGAGCATCTCTTATAGGCTTAACTGCTAAGTTTCTCGAGTTGTGCGTGCATTTCAGCCTCCAGCCTCTGGGAAAGCCTCAGCAAGCTCAGGACATGGTGCAAAATGGGGTTGTTTTGGAAGATGAATGCCATAAAGATGCCAAGTGCCGCACCTCTGGGTTGTGGGTGTTCTCCCCGGATGCTCCCTAACCACTGCCTCATTGCTCCCCAAAAGGAGTGGGGCTGAGGGGACAGGCATGAGAGGGAATCTGCCTCCTTTACTGCAGAGCTGCTCCACCTGTGCCGCTGCTAATCAGTGGCATGAGGAGCGAGCACCTTCCTTCCCAGTGGGAAGCAGCTAATAATGATTAGGATAATGGGTAACCCAGCAGATAAAACACCTGAGCTATGTGCTAATAGGCTTCGGATGGGTGTGGGGGCTTCCTCCCATCCATCAGCTCAGCAGCAGGCAGGAAGTGATGCACCAGCCTGAGTGACACCAGTGGTCCCAGTCCTGCAGCTCCAGCGATGCTTAATGTGGGTAAGGACCCTGCAGGTATTTCCCATGGGATCCTGCTTTGCAGCATCCTTGTTTTGTTTTCTAGGGAGCTGCAAGCCCAAAGTCCCTTTATGTTTGCACAGACGCTGCGTTTTCCACACCAGTGCATTTTTCCTCACCCTGGGCAGGCAGCTGATGCTTGGCAAGGGAACCCTTGCCAGCTTGGGGCTGGTGACAAGGGTGACCCTGGTGGAGGGCACTCACAGTCGGTACCCATCCCATCAGGGGTTTCATGTCTTTTGGGGATGCTGGATGAGGAGGAAGTAGATACTTCCCCCAGACATGCTGCATCATTCCCAGAAGCTTCTAGATGGGGTGGGAAGGTGTGGGTCCCAGCCCCACGGCACCCCTTTGGGCAGTGCCACCAGTATAGGGTAAGAAACTGAAAGAAAGGGCTGCAGGTGTGAGCTTTTAACGGGTAAGACAGATCAGGGCTGTGAGTGGGCAGAGCAAATAGCCTAACAAATGTGGGTGTAGGTTTTGTGTCTCGGAAGAGCTTGGTCAGCTATGGAAAATGCCCAAAGGTTTAAAACATGGAGCATTTCCACCACCCCACCCAGGAGTGCTGAAACAAATGAAGTGATATCTACACTGAAAGCATAACGGGCTCATTTCCAGATCCAGGGCACGCGATCCCATCAGGAGCTGCTCCTTCATCAGCAATCACTGCAGGCTGCTGAGCCCAGGCCAGCTCAGTGCTGCCTGCTCCTGCACCAGGCAGCCTGCATCCTGCTGCTGCCCCAGCCTGTGTGGGAGCCTTGTCCTCCCCATCACTGCCAGCCCACCCAGGTCATGGCTAGGAGCGCTGCATCTAAGGGGGAGGATTTGAGGCCAAGAGCTGATGTGACCTTGGGCTCAGGCTGGGAGCTGTCACGTGGCCCTCCTCACCGTGTGCTGTAACCATTGTGCTTGACTCTTGCCCTTGCCTCTATTCAAAAGATGCTGTTTTTAGAGTCACTGCTGTCCCAAAGTGCTTAAGGTCTCTCTGATCCTGCCTGAAGAAAGAGATGAAGGAGTAGAGAGCATCCACCTCTGCAGCTCCCTCCCTGGTCCAGGGGCTGGCAGCAGTAGCCTCTTTCTCTCTGTCACGCATGCAATGAGCTGGAACCTGTAGCATCCCCTCCATGGACTGGACACAGCAAGGGATAGAGGCAGCCTCGTCTCACCATTGGCATCCCATGGACCCCCCTGCACAGCATTAACACAAGGCCTGGGGGCTGTTTTCCCACTGCTCCTCCATTCCATTGGGATGGGTGAACCCATCCCAAGCCCCCCACAACACAAGCAACCCCTAAAGCTGTTAACTCCACACTCAGATTTTGGGGCATCCAGGCAAAATTGCAATAGCAAATCGCAGCCTCTGCTCTCTCTGGTTTCGTTCATTCCATGTGCCTGGTCTCCTTCCAGCCCTCATTAGAGCAGATTGGAAAGGAGCCCCATCCCTACTGGCATGGGATAGGTCAGGCCCTTTGTTCTGCTGCTGCTGGGGGCAACCTTGGCTCCTGTTTGCTGAGCCCATGGGCTAAACCTGCATCATCATTAGGCTGTTTCTGACAATCACAACTCCTTGCTACAGGTGTGAGGAGGCACTTAGGGCCCATCCCAGCAAAACCTCCCAAGCTGGATCTGGATGCTTCCATCAGCAGGTCAGACCCATCAAGGGCATCATGCAATTACAAACCTGATTCTAAACCTTTCCACCCTCATCCTTGTGGGGCTTTTATCTGAGGGTGGGAGGAGGAAAACTTCATTAGCAGGGTCACTTATTAACCTGCTGGCTCCTAATGATGCCCTTATCTCCTCCTGCCAGCCTTAGACTTATCAGCTACCTCTGAAGGAGCTCTCCTGCCCTACATTGCTCTCCCTTCATTAGCTTTTCATCTTGCTTAATTGCTCCTGCAGATTTGCCTGGGGTGAATGGCCTGGGGGATGCCCACAGGGAGATGGAGGTGCAGGAGAGCCAGGCATGAAGCTGCACCAAAGCATGGGACACCAGGATGTTGGTGCACAGTGATGGGAAGAGTGGGCCACACTGATGGTCTTGCTGCCGCTGCCTGGCTGCAAGCGGGGTCCTGTATGAAACCCTAAACTGGCTGGGGTAAGTATTTGGGGTCGCAGGTACCAAAACTATGCAGGAGAGCTCTGAGTATCAACCCTACCCAGAAGCCTTGCAGCTAAAACGTGGCTGCCCTCCCGCTTGCACCACCCACCTCCCATTCCCAAAACCTGCAGAAGCTGCTGGTATGGGATGCTTGGGGAGGGTCGCATCTCCCCGGACCCTGTCCCTATCCCGCACCCAGCTCTGACCTGCAGTGGTGGTGTCCACATCCCTGGCTGCCATCTCCTCCACTTCTGCCCTCTTGCGCAGCTCCAGCCGCCGCGAGAAGCCCTCCCTGGGCTTCCACAGGTCCTGGATGAGCAGCGGCTTCTCGTGGTCACCGAGCACCCTCAGCCCCTCCGTCTGCCACTGCTTGTCGGGGCCCTCGAACCTGCCGATCACATCGCACAGGGCGTACTGCCCGGCGCTGAGCTGGCTCAGCCCATAGCGCTCCAGCGCTTCCTTCACCAGCTCCCGTGCGCCCGAGCTGCCCGTAACCAGCACGCTCTTGTAGTTGGTGCCCGCGCAGATGTTGCCCCCAAAGATCTTCAGGATGCCGGGGACAGAGAGCTGGGTGGAGAGCTCGGCTGGGTCGTCCTCATTGGGTGCTGGGGAGGAAGATGCTGAGCTCCGGTCCTTGTAGCTCAGGGTCCGGTACAAGACTTGGGAGAAAATCCGGCTCTGGCGCTTCAGACGGTTCTTGGATGGTGGGGCCATGGTGGAGGAGGAGGAGCCGTAAAACATGGTGCGTGAGGTCATTGTGGAGCGTGGCTGGGCAGGGGAGAGGAAAAGGGGAAGTCAGTGGTTTGGAGGCCAGATGGGCAGCATGGAAGCAGCAGGTGGTGGCCACAGAGGAGCTGCCACCACCTCCAAAGTGAAAAGGGACAGCAGCAAGGGAAGGATGTTTCCCTTGTGCAACCCAAAACACCGGCAGCCAAGGTCCTTGATGTCAGCACAGTTACCCCAGGATGGATTTGTCCCTGCAAATGCAGCTGGAGCAGCCCCAAATTCCTCCTCCATTGTATGCATTGAGGTCCCTCTCACCCAAGCAAAACGCAATAGGAGGAGAGCAGAACCCAGCGTGGCCCATCCTGGTCAGGAGCCAAGGCACCAGCAGTTACTTCCACTAACGAGTTTACGGAGCAATCCCATTTATTTAGAGGTGAAACAGAAAGCTGAAGTGGGAATTCGGTCACTCTGAGGTCACTGCTAAACGCTTTTGCTCACTGAGAGGCACAGGGTGAAAACGGGCTTTGATCAACCCTTCAAAACCAGCCTGACTCTGGCAAACCTCTTGGCTGTTGCTTGTTTGTGGAGGACACTAAAGCATCACTGACAAAGGCTGACCTTGTCACGTTAACCAGGGCAGGGCTGCTTGGGGCAGTGGAGATAAGGCCATGGGACCGCGGCCATGCAAGAGCTCCTGGTGCACCTCATCCATTGGAACAGGCTGGAAACCCAAGTGCTCTTCTTGGCTTTAGGCTTCAGGCAGATAGTGCCAGATGTCACTGTCAGCATCTGGGGCCGGCTCTGAAATCACATCCCGGATGCACAACAGCCGGCACTTGCGCAGCACTCATAACACGACCGGCTGCATCGTGAGCTGCTGGTGGGAAAGGTCTGGAAAGACAACTTCAGCATTCCCGATTCCAACAGCACAGGGATTTCCCTCGCCTCCACGTTTATAACATGCATCTGGCATGCAAGGAACAGCACCAGAGGACAGCCAAAATATCTCATCCCCAGCTATGCAGAGCAGCCCTGAGGCGTGATCCAGCAGAGCATGCAAGGTTGGTTTGGGATACCAGCACCTTTCTGCATCTGCAGCCCTGCCTTGCTCAGGCAGGATCTTGCCACCAGAGCAAACCCAGCACTATCAGGCAGAACGATGTTGGGCCTGGAAAGCCTCCAAACCACCATCTAATTTGGGAAGAGAACGTGTCCCTGCTGCTAATGGAAGAGGTCACCTTCTAACCCAGAAACAAGCTCCCTGCCGTGCACAGAGGGTTTCTGCGGGGTGTACGTCCTCCCATCACAGAGCCAGGCACCCACTGAACGCTGCAGATGGGGAAACTGAGGCACCAGCAGGAGCTGAGGCTGCAGGATGTGACTGGGAGCTGTGTGATGAACCTCTAGGGATGGGGTTAGAGCTCTGGCTCTCCCCACACTGCTGCTCCTCTGCCAGTGCTGCTGCTCCCACTGGGGACATCCCTGGGGACACCCCTTGATGTCTGCTTGACATCCTTGATCTGTGCCACCTCCCAGGAGCACCAGGGCAGACCCGACCTGGGGAGCAGGTCAGGCCACTAACAGAGTCAGGTTCAGGAACAGCTACCCCAGGTTGTTAGCACAGCACCATCAGCCCTCATTAACATTAACCAGACCAAAACCTTCCGGTGTCCCTGTGAGACCTTGCCATCAAGGATGCAAAAGACAAACCTTTGTCATCAAATCACTGTTTTCAGCTTGCAGGTTTAATTTCCTCTGCCCTGAACTACCTCCAGCACAAAGGGGAATCTTCTAATATCTGCTGGTGATAAAATCATTCCTCCAAGTCCACATCACAGACTGAGACATCATCCTCGCTGCTTGCAGGTCCCTGCCTGGTTGTGAATACGTTATTTATAGCTCAGCTATTTTCCTGCTCTTTTGATCAAATGCAGCTTCTACAGAGTGCAGGGAGAAGGCATTTTATGGGGAAAAAATCAGGAGCCTGGATTGGGAGAATCTTCCAGCCTGCTCATCCCATTTTTCAACATCTGGAGTAACATTAGTGTGATTGAACCAGGCATCAGCCCGGGTCACCTTCTCCCAAAGACAACACATGGTCTTAATCCCCCTGAGGGCTCTGATGGATGCAGTGATAATGAATGGGCTCTTCCCACATCCATGTGCTCAGGCTTGCTGGTCACAGGCATCTCCAAGGAGGTTAAAGAGAAAACTGGTACGTGCAATACCACTGGGTCCTACGGTGAGAGCAGGGATGCTCCAGCTGGGCCCAGCTACCTGGACACAAGCTGTTAAGGGTATTAACAACCTCAGGTTGATGGGACGTGTGCTCCTGGACCTCCCAGCTCAGGCAAGCTCTCTCCTTGCTTCAGGCAGCCTCCCTGGAGGATACATGCCTGCAGCTATGAAGCATGACTCAGACCTTCCAAAAAGTCCCCTTCTTCAGCATCCAGAGACACCTCCACTAAGGACTACACAGGAATTAGCCAAAAGCCTGTGATTGCCTCCCAGTGGGATCCTTCACCTCTTCACATGCCACACCAAAACCAGGTATTTTCCATAGCCAGCACTGTCTGTATTTACCCTGCAGAGCTATGACAAATCCTTTTGGTATCCACATGGCCACCACATGTCCTTCCATCACCACAACTGACTGCAACCAACAGGGATTTTCCTGCTGGCCCTGAGGTTCCTGCTCCCACCATGGGTGAGCAGCTCCTTCCCACCAGTTCCAACCAGTGCCCAGGCAAAGCCTCCCCTTACCTTGCCATCCTTCTCACGTGCCTTTTTTCCTTCCATTCATCCTCTCTCTTAAAACGAGCCTTCTCCCCTGTCACGCATTGTCCTGGGTGGGCATCCGTTGTGTCTCTGCAAGAGGAAGAGAAGTGATCCTGGGCTGCCCACAGACATCAGCTGTTCACAGTGTGGTGGCTTTGGAGGGCGCAGAGATGCTATGACTCCTCTCCTGATGTGCCTCACTTTTGCATGCAGACTACTGAACCATGTATATATCCCCTATGGCTCAGCATCCCACTGTATTCCCCCCGCCTCAAATCAAACAGCCCAAGCACAAGCTGCTGCCATCTGGGATGAATGGGGCGCATTGCCACAGGGGATGCATGCCTGGTGACGCATGTGCTTGCACATGGTCGTCCAACCACAGATGGGGAAGTCCAGACCAGCCCCAAGCTCAGGCTCCATCGCAGCAGGAACATGGCAGCCCTGGGGGGTGAGATGGAGCAAACCCAGCCACGGTGATGCCCATGGCAAAGGGACAAGAGAGAACATCTACAGGAAAAGAAATCCTACTGGAAAGGAAAGGCAGAGATGGGACCAGTGGCAACCCCATGACCTTTATCTCCTTCTCTTAAGCATTCACCTCCCCAGGGATGCCAGGCTGGGGACCCTCTCACCCATGGATGGACAACGAGTCCTGGACCAGCTCCTTCCCCCTGCAGCCACAGCATGCTGGAATGCTCCCTGGGATGTGTTTTCCTTGAATCTCAGTTTGTTTTGCTGGACATTGAGGAGAACCACCAAGCACCATCCCCTCACCCTCTCAGCATAGATCTGCAAGAACATGCCCACTGGTAACCAAAGGGAAAGAGAAAAGAAGTGCCTGCAGTGATTTCAGTGGTGTTTCTCAGAAAGAGCCAGCAGGGCACAAGAAATAGTCCTTTTCTGTTGCTCTGCTGTGATTGAAATTGCACCATCTCATTAAACCACTTCATCAGGGCCTCAGTGCCGCTTTGATCCAGCCCTTCTTGCTTCCCCAGCACTGGGGCTATGGGAGAAGCTGCAAGGTGACGGGTCATGATGCTAAAGGCAAAGAGATGCTGATGCCACCTCTGCTGCTCGCTGCGTCTTCTGATGATTAATTGCTCCCACAGGTTAAATATTTACGCCTTATTACCAGTGTGTCTGCCTTCAACTGCCAGACATTGATTCCTGTCATGCTTTTCTCTGCTCAATTAACAAGCTTTTGGCTACCATGTATTTTCTCCTCTGTGAGAGTATTTAGGTGCTTTAATCAAGCCACACTTGTTCCTCTTTGGTTTGATTTATGGGGGGATTAACACAATGGCCATCTCATCTCTCATTGTTAGACGCTTTCTGCAGTCCCTCGGTCCCTTCCCTGCAGCCTCCACACCTCCACTGAGATGGAGAGGCTGGGTTTGGCTGTCATCAGCCCAAATCCAGTTCTGACAGCACCCTGATCACAAAGGCAAATAACTGCTATTTCTTTCCATAGCAAAGTTTCCCATTAATCCTGGAAAATACTCAATTCTCCAGCATGGAAATCGGGATGGACACACACAGCCACCCTTCAGGCAGCTCCTGCTGGAGGAGGGAATGCGCCTCTGTGCTGTCTCTCCCAGCTCCTGCTGAAAACCTATCATCCAGGTTAGGGCCAGGAAAACATGGACAACTCCAGTTATTATTTTTGGGTGCAAAAAGACTTCCCTTTCCCATTTGGCTCCAGTTAGGAAGGCTTTTGCTTGCCCGGTTTACCGTCCAGATTTGTCCAAGCTATTGACATTGTGCTGCTCTGGGTCGGCCCCAGGATTTTCCAAGCAATCATTCCTATCTCCTTCCAGCTTCGTGATAAAAGCACTGAAACACGGAGGGCATGCAACCAGCTAGCAGTGCCCAGCAGTGATAATCTCCCCTGATAACTGCCTTTGAAATGAATCGGGTTTATTTCATACCGGCTTCCTTGACATCGTAGAATGTCAGCTCTAAATACTGGCCTGGACTGGGTTTAATACTGAAAACTGCAGGTTTTTACAAGAATATCACCTCACATAACTCAAATGCCTTGTAAAGTTGTATTACAGCCAGAAAGGCACCTCTCGCATTGGAGACTGAAGTCATTCCTACGTGCCAAGAGTTATTTTCCATAGAGGCACATTGGACAGCAGGAATTTATTCCTGGTGCTGAAGTCTTTCATCAATTAAAGCCTGCGCCAGGTTTCTCCCTCTTCTCCCCAAGGGGATGCTACCAAGCCAAGCAACCTGTGGCTACCAGGTCATCTTACTCCCTTTTGGGAAGAGCAACAGCACTATTAAACCACTTTTTAAACCTCCTGGAATTTCCCTGGGGCAGATGCAGGTTTGCATGGATGGGCGGTGAGATTCCAGCTGCAGCCACCCCAGAATGGCCACCAGGAAAGCCATTTCCCCACATCCCTATTTGGAACATTTCCCTTTTCTTTTCCCTTTATGTTTTGGATGGAAACCACTGCTCTAATGGCAACCACAGCAGCCTGGATGCTGCGAGCGCAGGGAGAGGCTGGCCGGCCCTGCAATGTGGAACAAATTATAACTGAGAGAGCAAAGGAAATGAGAACACCCTGGACACGGCGCCTTTGACGTGCGCTCCTTTGGCTCCAAATCCTGCCCCTCTGCAGATCCCATCCCTGCTGCTGAGGCAGAGCCCAGACCCCGTTCAGTGTCAGAGCCCCCATTCTGGATCGAGTCTCTGCTTCAGAGCCCAGTTTCTTCTTGTGTGAGTTTTATCCATCTAATCTAGGGATGGACTGGAGGCTGATAATGTCGATGCCAGCCTCAGTGCTGTCTTTAGCCGGATCAGAGCAGGTAAACTCCTTACCATGTTATTATTAGCAGCAGGCGCTCTGTGGTAGCACCCTGGACCCCACAACCCAAGGACCATTCAAGGCAGGTATAAAGGCAGTCCTGCAAAGACGAACTAACAGTTTGTCCTAAAAGCACTTCTAGCTCTGCAGACAAATTATACTGATTAGGACTCAATTCTACAAGAACAACAGGAGTCCTTTCAGCACATTTTCTTTTCTCACTTCATTTTTTCCCCTATTATTTTGCAGGTTTGGAGCCACCAACGTGCATCAGCTCTCAGGCAATGCACAAGTACAAATTCCAGCCCTCTGCCCAGGCAGCTCTCACTTCTCACACAAGAAACACTCACAAAGAGCATTTGCTTTCTGCTGCCTCCTGAGCAGCAGAGTCTCCGTAGGCTGCCTAATTATAAGATCTTAGCAGTGATACTTTTCCTGCGATAATTAACTGATCCTGGAGAGTGCTGAAAATAAGCACTTCCCAAGCAAGCAGCAAACTCCCCTGAGTTTCCTCTGCTAGAGTTACAAGTCAGCATGAAACTGCTCCAGCCACGCGGGGACACAGACCCACAGCAGCTCCCTGCCAAGGCCTGAGATGCCACGACAGTCGCAAGCAGCTGAATACAGGTGAAACTGCGTGTGTGGAATAGCAGCGCGATCCCAAGGGGCATGCAAGGGCGAGAAGGATCCCAAGGGATGTGCAATGGGGAGAAGGATACCAAAAGGTGTGCAATTGGGTTAAGAGCCCCAAGGGGCATGCAGTGGGGAAAAGGACCCCGAGAGGTTCGCAGTCAGAAGCATCCCAAGGGGCACGCAGTGGGGAGAAGGATCCCGAAGGGTGCGCAGTGGGTCAAGGGCCACAAGGGGACACCCAGCGGAAGGAAGGGTCCCCAGGTGTCTGGCAACGGGACGACGATCCCAGGGTGCTGCATCTCCCCAGCCTGGCCCCCGCCTGCCCGCTGCCCCGTAGGGTCTCCAACAGCAACCGGACAAGCCTCAACCCTCACCGCCGCTTTGCCCCTGCCTCCACTTTCCAAGCGGACGAGAAACAAGCGTGCCCGTCCCAGCAGGTGAGGATCGCTGCTGGCCCCATCCCGGACAGCGGCTCCCGGGAGCGGGGGGCTCCGTACGGAGGGGCTGCCAGCGGTGTCCCATGGGATGCTATAGGGGAAGATCAGTCCCCAGACCACCCCCTCGGGTAGGGTCTGCCTTGTCCGGCCCCACGGTGCGCGCCCCCCCCGCGGTACTCACCGTGCGGGACACGGCGGCTGCAGCGCCCGGACCCGCCGGGGCTGCGCGGCGTGTCCCACCGCCGGGGCGGAGCGGAGCGGAGCGCAGCGCGGCGGAACGGCACTGCGGCGCCCCCCTGTGGTCGGAAGGGGCAGGACGCGACATGTCGCGACTTGATGGTGGAGCAGGGCCAGGGAAGGGCAATGCTGGTGGTGCAGGGCCTGGAGCACAAGTGTGATGGGGGACGGCTGAAGGACCTGGGGGGTTTAGTCTGGAGAAGAGAAGGCTCAGGGAGACCTTATGGCTCTCTACAAGTGCCTGACAAGAGGATGGAGTGAGGTGGGGTTGGTCTCTTCTCCCAACTAGCAAGCGATAGGAGAAGAAGAAACGGCTTCAATCTGCACCAGGAGAGGTTTAGACTGGAGAACAGCAACAGTTTCTTCACTTAAAGGGTGCTCAGGCATTGGAACAGGCTGCCCAGGGCAGTGGTGGAGGGTATCCACCCCTTGAACCATTTTGAACACTATCCCTGGAAGCGTTCACAAACCCCATAGATGAGGCCCTCGGTGACATGGGTCAGTGGTGGTCTTGGCAGTGCTGGGGAACGGTTGGATTTGATGATCTTAAAGGTCTCTTCCAGCCTTGCTGATTCTATGGTTCTATTCCCCCTGGGCACAGTGCCCAATGGAAATGCCAGGGGAGTGAGACAGCTTTGGCTAAACAGGTTTTATCAAACAAGCTCCAAAGGTGACCTGGAGCCTGCAGTGGCTGCAGGGTTGAGTAGAATCACAGAACAGTTTGGGTTGGAAGGGGCTTTTAAAGGTCCAACCCCTTGCAATGAGCAGGGACATCTCCAATCAGATGAGGTTGCCCAGAACTACATTCATCCTGGCCTTGAATGTCTCCAGGGTTGGTGCATCCACCACCCCGCTGGGCAGCCTGCGCCAGTGTTTTACCACCCTCATTGTACAGAATTTTTTCCTCTCATCCAGACTGAATCTCCCCTCTTTTAGTGTAAAACCATCACCTCTCCTCCTATCACAACAGGCCCTAAATCAGGAAGGGATGGACCATAACAGCACTATAACATCACCAGGGAGTTGTTTGAAACAAGGAGGTGGCCGATGCTCTGCCTCCATCAGCTGAAAGTTCTCCTTTTGGTTGAAGACATGGTGCAGGGGTTACGCTTTGGGTGGGGAGGCAGCTCTGCCACCCAGACACCCTCTGGGAGAGACAGCACCAAAGGAAAGCAAAGCAGGAAGCCTCCCAGTCCAGCCCAATTGCCGGCAGCAAACAAATTATGGGCGAGGTAGAAGTTGTGGGTCAGGTTTGGGGGTGAGTGCAGCTGCCCCTGGAAGCAGGGAACCCTCCCTGGCTCTCTGGGAAAGCTCCTGAGCCTGTGGGGGATCCAGCCCCGGTGTGACTACACTGGAGAGGTGCAAGCGAGAGTGGATGTGCAGAGCCCTGGGCAGGCAGCACCATGTGGAGGGCTTCATGAATGGGGGCAAATTCTCCTTCCACAAGGGGAGCCAGTGCCTGTGGGAGCTGGTGGGTGATGGTGGGTTTCCTCTCTGGGGTCCACAGCGAGCAGTGCTTGCCCCCTGCCCCTTTCCTCCTCCCTAGATCTGGCATCCTCATCCCCCTGCAGATGCAGCCCCAGGGCTTGATGCACATCAACCCCTGGCTCAGCTACAGCAGGAGAGGAGATGGCAGGGCCAGAGCATGCGTGCAGGGCTTGGCACCGAAACCACTGCGGTGAGGTGCTGGGGAGCCCTTCAGCCGCCACCACCGAGCATGGGGCCATCAGCAGCCACCAATTGTTCTTGTTTAAGGAAACCCCACAGCTTGGAGCTCAACCAGGCCATGGCCTCCCAGATTTCCCTGTGGTGTGAAGGGTGCAGCAGCACTGGGTCCCCCAGCGAGCCAAGGCAGAAGATGGCACTGCCATCCATGCATCAAAGTGAGTCAGTTCTCAGCGCTCCATCACCATAGGTGGCTCCTCTCCTCACCCATATGGGCCAAGTCACATAGAAAATGGGTTGATTTCCACATACTGCAGGTTAAGTCATTTTGATATAACAAACAGGCAGCGGTGAGGTATCTTGAGTTTTTATTTCAATCCTACTCCACAGGAAGCAATAGTCATTAGCGTTATCTTCCGTACGTTTGTGTTTCCTTGACCCAGTACTGTGTTAACTATAAAAGACTGATCGAACAAGAATGGACAGTGAAAACGTGAGATGCTAAAAAGGCCCCTCGGACCCTCCTCCGCAGACATCCTCAACGTTAGGAGTCATTTAGGATTAGTATAAAACTGAGGACAATCCCATAACCTGCTCTGTGCTCCCTGCTTTGCAAGGGAAGGATTTAGGAAGCAAGAGAAGAGGGGGGATTTATCAGTTATAGCAAAGCCCACTTGGCAGATCTGGGCTCAAGGCAGCGTGGCGATGTCCCCAGTGGAGCCCAGCCACCCATTCCCACCTGGATATCTGCCCTGCCCTGGGTTTTCAGCAGGAGGCTGGGATAAAGTGGCTTCGAAAGGTCTTTCGGGCACCTCCCTGTGACTCAGGAGCCCCCAGGATGCATTTAGAGCCAGAAGCCCCAATGGCAAAACAGCTTCATCCCTTGGGATGAAGAGCGAAATGCAACAGTGGTCCCTGGGCATCCTCAGCCCCTGACTGCTGTGTGCATGGCCTGTTCCCAGTGGGATTTAGTGATGGAAAAGGAGGAGAGCCAGGCACATTGAGCCGCTGTTGTCACCATGCCCCACGGTGATGCTGGGAATCTGGTGTGTCCCCCTCGGTTAAAGTTGAAGCACGCGTTTGTAAAGCACTGGTTGTCCTCCAGGTGCTCCACAGGTCCTCACATGAGCCCTGTGAGGTAGGTTGCTGTCTTCTCCCCCATTTTACAGATGGGGAAACTGAGGCACGGAGAAGGGTAAAGACTTGCCAGGCAGGAAAAAATAGCATCTTCTGTTCTGGGACCTCCTATCCTGCTATTTCAACCCCCAAAATGCTCCACCAACTGCTGGTTACTCCCAGCTTATCCTCCATCTGCAGCAGATGATGGAGCAAGGGGTTGGACATGGGATCTTGGGAGATGCAGCAGCAGAGACTGGGCTCACACTGGGTCATTCATCCCCTGTCCCTTAGGACCACCCATCACCCCAAGGGGTGTCCCCAGCCCAAAGGCTGATTTGGGGTGCCCTGTGTAGAGACCCCCCAGCAGCCCTATGGCAGAGGCATGCACCTAGAGCCCCTTATAGGAACCTTGTGCCTATGGAAGTGAAAACCCACAGGATTCTTTTGTTGCCCTGGTGACCACAGCCACAGTCAGGAGGGGATGAGCATCTGGATGCTGTCTCTTTGGTAATTTGATGGACGATATAGAGCTGGTCCTGGAATGATGCAGGCTGGGGAGACCTAAGCTCTGTGGGGGACAGAGCAGAGCCTGGAGCTCAGCTCCTCGGCTACCAGAGAAACAGGAGACGTGGGACAGTGGCCATAAATCTCCTTCGTTTGCCCCGTTGTGCCAAGGCTGCTGCAGCCACAATTAATCAAGAGGCTGAAAAGAGCTGATGGGAAATCGATGCCTCCAGGGGCTCCTGGGGACGGTGCAGGCAGGGGTGAGAGCAGCGATGTTGTGCGGGGTCCCAGCACAGACCAGTCCTTAACAGCTCCAGCAGCCTGGGGAGCAGGACCAGTGTGCTTTTCCCATTCCAGCACTATCAGGCTGCTTCTGATGGCTGGATGGGTGCTCCATGTCTTGTTATCGTACCCTGGAAAGCAGCACTGTGGAGCTGTGGTTAGGTGTTTAATAGCCGAGCATCACTAGGACCTCCCCATTCAGCTCACCTCCAAGCATCACGCAGATGCATCTTTCCCCTACATCAATTCTGGGAACGCCAGATATCCTCCCAGGAGCGGAGTTAATGATGATGGGCAATAGGCTCATCACCAGAATGGGAGCAGAAAAGGCAGGCAGCCCCGTGATCCCAATCCCAGGAGGTTTGCTTCCCTCCCTCAAGGAGAACGAAAATCCCCTGATGTGGATGGGCTGACCCCAGCCAGGCGGATGCTGGCATCCGAATCCCCCCTCTGCTCCCTGCTTGAAGGCACAGGCAAGAGCCTGGGAGCAGGGCTGTGCTTTGAATCTGCCACTGCACTGAGATTGGAGAGGAAAACAAAGCACCCCAAGGACAAAACGTCCTGGTGGGCTCTCCGGGCCCGTTCAGGGGGGGATGTACTGAGTTGTGCACCTAATACTGGCTGAGAGAAAGGGTTCTGCAGTGCTTGGGGACTCTGGGGTGCCCTGGAAGAGGTCCCAGTTTCAATCTCATATAAGGCTTTGTTGTCCCTGGACCTTCCCATAGAGAACCTGGGAGGGAGTGGTTAATGCTGGCATGATTTAGGTCCATTTAGGAGCTGAGCCCGGTTGGAGCAGGGATGCCAATGTGCCCCCTCCCAGGCTGGAGCATCTCAAGGGAAAGGGGCTGGATCTCTCCCCTCATCCCAACTCCTCCAGTCCCTTGGGGGGCCCATGCTAAGGGCTCAGTAGCCAAACCCAGGGTGTCACTATTCAGGGGCAGGCGGGGTCAAGGACCCCATGGGATGCTCAGGGCCAGGCAAGTGAGTGAAGCCCCTCAAGCCCCTGGCACACGGTCATTCATTCCCCTGCCACCAGCAGCCCCTTGGTGGGTCACTGTGTTACAAAACCTGTGCCCAAAATCCAAGCAGTTCCCGAGGTTAAAAGAGGAAAGTCTGTTTAAAATCCACCTCCAGACTCTCCTGGCTGTGCAGGAAGGGCACCAGCACTGCCCATGGGGCTAGTGGGTGGTTTAGGGTGAGCCCGTGGCACAGGCTGTCTCCCTGCTCCCCTCATGCCCCCATGTGCTGGTCTTTAAGGCATCTACCAGGATGTTTTAGCCTCCAGCGTGCCAGGCCGGTAGAGATACCTCCAAATGGCATAGTAGTGGATGCCAGCTCCAATGGCCACAAAGAGGTGCCAGATGGCATGGGCGAAGGGGATGCGGCCGTCGCTCTTGAAGAAGACCATGCCCAGGCAGTAGGAGAATCCACCGGCCACCAGCTCCGGGAGGCCATCCCTGTTGGGCTGGGAGCAAGCAGGGAGATAGGGCTCAGTGATGGCCATGGCATCCCTGTCCTCCTCTCTGCCTTCTGCTGCACCCTCCCCTCCAGCCAGGCAATGGGGACCCAGCACCCTGGCTTGGCTTGGAGGACTTCAGTGCGATGGAGCCCGGGTAGGAAGTCCAGTGGTGGGGACCCAAAGCACTTGCAAAACCAAGCTGGGCCACGTCGTATTTGGGGCTGGCTTTATCCACCACAGAACCCTCCGGAGTCCTGCTGGGATATGCCCCTTGCGCTGAGCCCGTGTGCTTCCCGGCAGTGGCTTACCATGGAGAGGATGACCAACGCAGGGAAGAAGCCCATGATAACGTAGCACACCAGCTCCACCAGCTTGTACCTGCGACCGACAGAGAAGCTGCTTGGAGGCAAGAGCGTTGAGTTTTACACTTGTAAGTGCTATAGGAAAAGGGCTGGAAGTGCCACCTCGGCAGGTCCCGTGTCCTCATGTGTGAGCCACACCACTGCGACGGGGCTGGCACCCTGCTCCGGGGTGATGGACCCTCACCCTGGCTTCGGAGCTGCCAGCTCAGGGCTGGGAGCTTGGGGCTTCGGGGACAGGCATCTGGAGCCTTTTGCTTTCCGTTTGGTGCCACCATGTGGAAGAAGCAGCTCATAGCAGCACGTCCCTGCTCCCGCGGGCCTCTTCCCGCATCCCTCTTCCCACATCCCTCTTCCCGCATCCCTGCCACCAAAGCTCCTAAAGCCAGAATACAGATGGGGAAGGACGTGGTCCGATTCTCCACTTCCAGCCGACCAGAAGACTGCCAGGAACACTGTACCTGTCTGTCTGTCTCCATCCTTCTTGCTCTCCCCTGCATCTTTGGGCGTTTATAGGGGCTGGCAGAGCTGGGCTCTGCAATACCCACCAGCACAGAGCCAAGTAATGGCACTCACCGCTCATGGAAGAAGAAAACATAGACGGTGCCAACAGATGCCATGATCCAGATGATCCAGCGCATGTGGGAAGCCCAGGGACCCAATTCCCTCAGGTTCAGCCTGCAAGACCCAAGTGGTGGTGAGGATCTAGGGCAGAGAGGTGCCCCATGGCTATCCCATCAAAGGGTCTTCCCAGCTTGCAACTTCAACTTAAAGGGGTTGCAATCTAAAAGATAAGCTTTTGAGGAAAGGGGTAGGGTACAGCCCCGAGCAGAGTCAAAGCCACAGAGGGAAGCCCTATCTGTTGGAGCTGTTGTGATTTTCTCCCATCCGGGGGGGGGGGGCAAGTGATGGCCCCCACTCCCCAGCAACTCACCAGGGAGCATATGATGCTGCGATGAAGAAGTAGATCACCATCCTGTCAAACATGTGCAAGCAGTGCTCCACTGTCCTGTGGGATGGACAGAGACAGACAGGTCACAGCCTGCAGCACCATGGGCCTCTGGACACTTTCCCCCTTCTCCTGAACCCCCAGCAATCAGGGCTGGTACCTGAGATGCCTCTTCTTCCAGGAGATGGTGTGGAAGATGGTGGAGACAATGAAGAGGCTGGACAAGCCAAAGCCATAGATCCAGGCTGAGATAGTTTCCCACTGGTCATCAGAGAGGATGTAGAGGATGGAGCTGCCAAGGATGCTGGGCAGGATCCAGAACTGGAAAGGAGAAGCAAATCTTTGCTGACTCTCTGCATTTCCATCTAGCAGCTACAGTACAGTCTCTGATTTGCCTTTTAGGTGTTCCTTTTGCTCCTGGTCAAAGCCACCACCCATGAGGGGCAGGCTTTTTCCCCTCTATTTTGGTGCAGCTCCAAAACAGCTTCTCCAGGTGAAGATGAGGAGGAGGAAGGCACAAGGAGGATGGCTACCCCCGAGTCATCCCCCAGGACTCAGAGTGGGAGCTGCCAGCTCCTAAGGGAAACCCTGATGTGGGGACCGCTTGTGTAGGCAGCCCCATGGGGCTCCTGTCACCACCCCTGCTGTGAAAACCACTCTGTTTTCATGGAGCTCTGCAAAATACTCCTGCTCCACTAAGCCCACGGCAGCCAGCTTCCCTGGGGGCATGGTGAGTGAGAGCAAGGGACATGCACACCAGCTTCCCAGGGCAGAAGGAGGGAGAGCATCCCATTGCCCAGCATCCATCTGCTTCACCACAGCCCTGAGACCCGCAGCAGCAGAGCTGAGCATGAGCATTTCTAGGAGTTCCTTGAAGTTCCTCAGAGGATCCATGGGGAGCTGAGCACCATCCCACCTAGCCCTGGGGTGGGGACAGGGACTCACTGCATGGGTGGCACAGTTGGCTGCGTGCTCGTACTCCGTCGGCTGGTACCTGCAGTTGGATGGGACGCGGTGATTCATGAACCTGCAGCGAGAAGCATGGAGAGGAACTCACTCAGAGGATGGGGTTTGGAGGAATCACGGAATGGTTTGGGGTGGAAAGGACCTTAAGATCATCCAGTTCCAACCTCCTGCCACAGGCAGGGACACCTCACACTAAACCATGGCACCCAAGGCTCTGTCCAACCTGGCCTTGAACACTGCCAGGGATGGAGCATTCACAGCTTCCCTGGGCAACCCATTCTAGTGCCTCACCACCCTTACAGTAAAGAATTTCCTCCTTATATCCAATCTAAACTTCCCCTGTTTCAGTTCAAACCCATTACCCCTTGCCCTATCTCTACAGTCCCTGATGAAGAGTCCCTCTCCAGCATCCTTGAATCCCCATGTTGCCTTTGGTTTCTGGGTACCACCTGCAGCTACCTCCTACCCACACATCCCAGCACAGATTACTGCAGGGAAAACCCCACCATCCTCCCTTGGAAACCTATAGCTTTATTTCCGTTTCTCTTAGTCTGAGGTATCAGCTTGCTCCTGGTGTTCAGAGGAACATATCGATTTCCTCTTGTCAGATCAACACACAGGGATAAAATATAGTGTCTGGCTTGGCCAGTCCATTGCTAGGTAGGTGCAGCTGTATTAAGAGGCAAATTAAATATGCATCTGTGGTAACAGGTCAGAGCAAAGCCTCACTCAGCATCTTCTTCTGGCAGGGGCCAGAAGTGGAGGCTTTGCAGAAGGGAATAAGAACCAGGCAAACAGGGAGTGATCCTTCCCTGCCTGATCTGGTAATCAGGGGGTTAAAGACTTTGCTGCTGCACCTCCGGACCTGGACTAATTGCTTTATGACCCTGTTTGCTTCCACTTCTGGCACCATCTGTGGTGGGGCTCACAGCTGAGCTGTGCCCAGCAAGGGGGCTCGGGGGCTGGCAGGACCTTGCTGCTGGGCACAGGGTGATGCAGGGCATTGGGGAAGGCAGGAAAGGTCCCCTCTCTGCATCCCTGAGCCACCCGCATCCATACAGACTCTTCTGGCTTCTCCTTGCTCAGCCCCACTGAATGAGCTGCTCACTGCTGCCTATTAAAAGTGAGCCAGGCTGGATTAAATAGCTCAAATTACATGGATTTGAGGCCAGGGGGAGTGTGGCCACAACAGACCCAGGCCAGGGAACCTGTCCCCAGCCCCTGCCCTGCCTGCTGCCAGACCTTGGTATTATGGGAGGATGCGTGGTGATCCATAAACTATGGGTTAAGAGGAGAAAGCAGAGGGGCTAAGCTCCCACTGCGCTGCAGTGGAGGACCCACACTGGGTAAATGGGCATCCCTCGGGATGTGCTTGTGCCCGGCGCGCTGTCGCATCCATCCACGGGACACCAGGGATGCCCCCCTCATCCCGACGCTGCCACCACAAGGAATGGCCAGGCTGGCTGTGCTGGAGCCGTGTCCTCCGGCAGGAGGACATTGCTGTCCCCTGCGTTGCCAGGAGACTGTCCCCAGCTCCCCTCTGCTTTCTGCTTCCCTTTCTTTTCCCTTCCCATAATAAGGCGGCGGGCAGGGGAAGGCCAGACATCCCGCGTGACATCGGTTGCTGAGGAAACGCCTCCGAGGCCTTTTCCTTGGATTTATTTGTTTTAACAAAGCCCTGCACCGTCTCCCCTCTGTTCTGAGCTCTTCAGAGCAGTAACAAGGAGCAGAGGCAGGGCTGGTTCCCACAGCCCCTTCCTACAGGGCTGAGGGACATCCAGACCCTTTGGAAAGGGATCCCTGGGGTGCAGATATCCTCCCTGTCTCTGGTACAGGGATGGAGAGGCCAGGAAGGGCCACCCCAGCCATTCCCATGGGATGAGGTCAGACAGCATGTGTGTCCCTGAAGCCCAAAGCCGTGCTGGTGCAGCACACTGCAAGCATCTGCTTTTCCCAGAGGGAGAAATAGCCTTGAGGAGGGACTTCTTTTTGACCTGCTCTTGTTTCCTTGCCCTGCTTTCTAATAAGCATCATCCTGTGAAAGATGGGAAACGGAGCATCACAGAGGTGGGACCTGGCTGCACAGTGCTGGGCCAGCCTGGCTGCAGCAGCTCCTCCTGGAGCACCCAGGGTTGTATTTTAGGGGTAGTTGGACACAATTTCATGGTCCTCTGTGCTCAGGAGCGGAGCTGTGCAAACAAACATGGGAGCAGCCGACGTTTGCACATCTTCTGGCAGGGCAGGATGAGTCCTCCTGCAGCACCTTGCTCCCCAGGGGTGCAGAGGGCATTCCCTCACCTTCTCTTCTCTCCTTTATCTATCTCCCAGACCATCCTGGGATGCTAAGCATCCATCAAGCTCGCGCCATCCCTGCGATGGCAGAGCATGGGGAGCCCTGCAGCGTTCCCAGCCTGCAGGAAGTTGCTGTAGTGGTGCACCAAACCAGCCTCAAATCTGAAGCTGGACAGAGACACGCTTGGAAAGGGCACCTGGGACTCTCATTAGTGCTGATGAAAGCCCAGAGAGGCTGGAGGCTGCTCTGTGTTTCCCAGCCCCAGCTCTATGCAACTGGGATCAGGAGAAAGGGAATTGCTGCAGCCAGGCAGAGCTCTGGGGCTTTTCAATGCAATAATAAGAGAAACACCTCTCCAAACTTAGCTCTGATCCCTGCAGGAAGACTCCTGCCCGGCTGGCTCAATCCACAGCCATCGCCTGCTCCATGTCATTGCAACCGTAGGGTTGGGGATACCCTGGCTGTATCCCTGGGGTGGGAGGAGCTGAGGGAGATGTGTTCATAACAGCATCCAGCCTACACTGCCTGGGCAAAGCCACAGTGTCAGACCCCACTTGGAGCACCGTGTACAGGTCCTGTGTCCTCAACATAAGAAGGACATGGAACTGTTGGAACACGTCCAGAGGAGGCCACGAGGATGATCAGGGGACTGCTGCACCTCCTGTGTGAAGATAGGCTGAGTTGGGGCTGTTCAGCCTGAAGAAGAGAAGGCTGCGTGGAGACCTCAGAGCAGCCTTCCAGTATCTGCAGGGGGCTACAAGGATGCTGGAGAAGGACTCTTTATCAAGGGCTGTAGTAATAGGACAAGGGGTGTTGGGTTCAAACTGAAACAGGGGAAGTTTAGATTGGGTATAAGGAGGAAATTCTTTCCTGTTAGGGTGGTGAGGCACTGGAATGGGTTGCCCAGGGAGGTTGTGAATGCTCCATCCCCGGCAGTGTTCAAGGCCAGGTTGGACAGAGCCTTGGGTGAGATGGTTTAGTGTGAGGTGTCCCTGCCCATGGCAGGGAGTTGGAACTGGATGATCTTAAGGTCCTTTCCAACCCTAACTCTTCTATGATTCTATGTCATGGCTCATTCAACACTGCGGGTCTGGGAAGCTGCAGGCAGGCGATTACACCTTGGCTGGATGCTTCAATGCATTTTAGCAGATGCTTTAGGATTGCAAAGTCCAAAAGACACAAACCTTTCACACCTCTTGCACAGCAGGAGCAGGGGCATGGTCATTCTCAGGGATGCCACATGGGAAGCAGAGACCCGAGGGGCTCCCAGGCACCTTTTACTCCCAGTGCTGCTCCTGGCAGATGCTATACAGACCATCTATATGAAGATAGGGGGCCTGGTGGGGGTCCAAGCAGGGGTTATTCATGCAGCCCCAGGGTTTTCCCCTGCCCTGCTTGTCCTGCTTCCCCCTGGCCCCTTTCCCAGGGAGGGAGACTGAAAAGGGCCAGTGCAGCAGGCTCCGGCCAGGGGAACAAAGAGCCCCTTGTCGCAGGCAGCCAGGGCAAAGTGCAGAGCCAGCTTCCCAGGCTTGTTCCTTTCTCCTTCTCTTTCTCCCACTCTGTTTTTTTGTGGTTCTGGGAGCGTTTGCTAAGTTTTATAAGGACTTTTATCCAAGAACAAAGTTCTGACCTCGAAAATCACTCCTGCTTTGCCAGGGTAAGGGAGAAGAAGGTAAAATGGGGATTAAGGTGTTCCTTAGGAGGGCTCATGTGTGAGCATTTGAACACCAAGACAACCTCCATCAGCCACTCCAGGGGCACCACGCACTCACACAGGCAGAGCCATGGGACACTTTGCAGAGCTGTGCCCTACACACACAAGGTGGGAACAGCCCTGATGGAGACCCAGGCTGGGATGTGATTCAGGAGAGATGGGGTTTAGCTCTGCCTTCAGTACTGACTCTCTGGCTGGCCTCTGCCACATCACTTCCTTTCCCTCTCCCTGCCTTTATCCCTCTCCTAGTGAGGATAATAATTTGTCATCCTTCAGGTGAGCTGGTGGATTGATAGCATAAAGAAGGTGCAAAATAAAGGAAATGTAGCTCAGGTATTGGTATATATTATATATACCCATACATCTACACATAGTATGTGTATATATATACACATGTGTACATATATGTATATACACACATGATACGGACAGGGAGGCATGAGCTGGGGTGCCATTGAGCAGCTCATCCCTGCCTTTGGAAAAAGCCAGTCCCACACTGACATTCCCAACCCTGCTCTAAACCAGGCTTTATACATGACACGTGGCTGTGCATCTATGCGTTGAGGAGCTAGGCTCCCCCTGAACATTGCCATGGCTGCCACACTTGAAGAGCCAACACATCCCCTTCACAACCCATGAAGCACTAAATGTGCATATCCTACAGTGCTCCCAGGTGATGTGAATCTCCCCAGAGCAGCTAATATCTACAAGTTTCACCTGCAAATAGCTTATAAAAGGGCTGGGTTTGCTAAGGAGCTGATTTAATGTCTTAGGTTGGAGGTTGGATGCTGGTTTGTTTTGTATCTATCTTCTTGTCCCAGGGATCTGTGTTCCTATGGGGCAGCTCCTGGGGATTTGACTGCAAAGAGAGGGGATTTCTCCTTCTCTTTGTGACTGGTATCTTAACTGCTTTTAGGGTAATGGAAGTGGATTGTATTTTCATGGTGGCATCTTAGAGAGGAAGGACGGAGAAAGCATTTGCTGGATGCTGACCGGCAGCAGTGGTAAGTCCTGCTGGGACCCTTTGGGTTGTCCCTTGGTAGAGCAAGTGTTG